AGCTAGAGTTAGTGATATTGTAGAGAAAATGAAAAATAAAATATAAACATTTACTTTAAAAATCTTTTGATATCCTTTTAGGAGGTTCTAGAGATTATGCAAATGAAGAAAAGTATTTTTTTTACTTAAAATGAAAATCACCTTGCACTCGATTTGTTAATAGTTTGAATGTGAGTAACTACAATAGAAAAATAACATCTTTAGTAAAAACGCTTAATTATAATAATGTCATTCTTTGTGTACAAGATACTTATGATCTTTAACAAAATCTTACCAGTTTTTGAATGGATATGTTAAGAAATCTCATAGTTACCACTTGTATTGTTGTACAAGTGAAATTCGTAACTCGATTTCTGCAAATTGCATGAACCTGCCATGAAAGGGTTAAAAGAATGTTAATAATTCAAGATATTTAACTTTCCTGCTTGAGCTGTTATTCATATATCAGAATGTCCCTGGAGACTTTTAGGTAATATTCAAAATCTCATAGTCTGTAACACAAGGGATGTTCACAGTCTGTCATAGTGATAAAAGTTTGAGTGTCTAAACCTTAGAACTCTCTTCTACTACCAATGGTGTTCTGTGAGATGGCATTGGTTATAAACTACTGCTCTGCAATACTATCCCTGTATGCATACCTACGCTCATCAAATGTGCAAGAAGGTCAACTTGCAGTAGCCCATTATTAAATTGAGCAACATTAAAACACAGAAGGGCCCGGCATGTGGCCAGGTGGTTAGGGTGCTCGACTCACAATTTGAGGGTTGTGGGTTCGAATCCCTGTCCCACCAAACATGCTCACCCTTTCAGCATGGAGGGGGGGCATTATAATGTGACTGTCAATCCCACTATTTGTTGGTAAACAAGTAACCCAAGAGTTGGCAGTGGATGGTGATGACTAGCTGCCTTTCCTCTAGTCTTACACTGCTAAATGTCTAGCGCAGATAGCCCTCGTGTAGCGTTGCGCAAAATTCCAAATCAAACACAGAAGTTCATATGAGATGTCTGTAAATGGTATAGCAGTAATTCCTATTTGTATTTTGGCATGTTCATTTACATGAAGATCTGTAGTTGGATGTTTTGTCTTGATAGAACCATATTTTATTGGTATCTAGTTCATACAAAAATGGTATCTCATGATATAGTGGTATCAGACATTAGTCTGACAATATGTAGAGTTCACTTTGTTATTTTCTTGACTTTCCAGATGTTTGACTTATTATAGTTGTAACTTTGCAACCACCATAAATCCCCTGAAATAATTATGTATCACGCTCAGCACCATTTTGGAAATGTTGTGTCACAAGTAGAATGATAATAGGTTGCCTGGACTTTTGCAAACACTTAAGTAGACATTTGTTTTGTTCGTTGTGGTGTCATACTTCCATTTGTCACTTGCCAGATACTGCTCATATAGGTTTAGACAGTTGTTCCTCAACTCAGCTACGTTCTTTGGCAAAAGTTTGTGAATGCAGCTGTTGTGATATATTTTGTAGGCCTAAATGCATGCAAACTATTTTGTTTACTTCTCTAAAAGTGTTTCCAACCTGAGCTGCAATGAACTGCTCTGTTCTTGGGTTTCTCCTAGTGATGAGTTGTTTTCTTTAACTTTCATCGCTACTTTTAATGTGTGACTGGTAACTGTGTGAAGCAGTCTGTTTTTCCTGTGTAAAAATCATGCTTTACTAATATGATTGAAAGCTGTAGATATTTCTTTCTTTAAGTTGTTAAAACTTCTTGTCTTGTGTGCTTTTTATAATTGCAGAGTAGGAGAGCTTTGAGTCAGAAAGTCCTGCATTGTAACCCTCCCAGAGGTTGGTGAATTTTAGGCACCATCTGCACTTGCAAATCAATCCACTTCAACTGGGTTGCAACAAGAGGGTCAGGCTTTTAGCTATGGGGATGGCCAAGGGAAAGGTGATTGAATATGCAAATTTTTACCACAGATTGTGAACTACCCTCTATAGTCTAGGAAGATTATCAAGATGTTCAAGTTAAGTGCTACCTCTGTCTGGATATTACATACCAAGTGTAATTGGTCTTGATTAGAAAGAAATTATCCCATAGATATCTGGGTATTATTTAGTTAAATATAGGATACTAGAATGACTTGTGTAGACATCACATTTCAGAGGTACTGCAAACTCAGTTGGTTTAAGAACATTGTAAATTGTCAAATATTATTTTGTTTGCTTTATTATTTACAAAATAATGTATGTGTATCAGAAGTGCATTATTCCTACAAATGTTTTTGTTTTTTTTCAAAATGGGAAAATATATCTATAAACTGTATTATTTCATATTGAGTGAAGTTGTGCAAACATTGTTTGTGAAACAGCACTTTTTCCTAGTGGTAATGGGCAACAGAAGTTTGGTCAGTGTTCAACTCACAGTCCATCAGGGTTGCTTATATCGTTGTTAAATTTTCCTTAAACTCAAGACTGTCTATTTCAGTCATATTTTTAGATATGCTTAAAGTGAAATGTAGATACGTTATGTTTAATTTATAGGTAGTTTCTAAAAGTTCTTGTTTATTAAGAAACATAAAATAACCTAATTTTTAAATCAAACACTTATATACCATTAGTATTTTTTCAACATTTGATAAATCTTGAGAAGGGTTTTGCAATCAATTTCTTATAATGTTTATATTAAGCTTGTCATCCCAGTGAGAATCTGTAAACATAATCTTTGTTAATTAGCAAATGTACTTTGCAAAACAGAACTTCTGAAAAGAAAAGATTACAAAATGTATTCTACTGTATTGGCTTTCTGTCATATATTTATCTCAAGAAATATTGAATAGTAGTAACCGTACAGCTCTTTATTACATAAATTCTTGGGATTTTGAAGATGTGTTTAATATTATTACTGTGTGTATAAAAGTAAGAAATTAGTTGCCAGTTTATAATGCCTATAAATGTACAATTTTAAAAACAAAACTAGAATACAAGTAGTATTGTTTTTTT